ACGGACTAAAAAGGAGAAAATAAAATACTTAAAAAAAACTTTTAAAAAAAACACGTTTTTTATGTGTAGCAACGGACTAAAAAGGAGAACGGACACGGTAACACATTGTTAACGGTGACACGGTTGGTACGCTGGGCATGCTAAAATACACATAAACACGTTTTTCCTTAACTCAGCTTCGCGTTTATTTGTTTGTTTATGGGAGATTTGATCACGTGATTCGTGAGTAGATCTCTACGCCAGCAACGTAAATTACACCCTTTCTCTGTTTAAAGCGTATCGGTCGCTCAAGATTTTTTTAGTCCGTGTATTTAAAAACACTTAGTCAAGTCATACTTAATCAAGTGATTAGATAAAGTAGAAAATAAACTATATAAAAAACTTTTTAAAAACCACGTTTTTCATGTGTAGCAACGAACTAAAAAGGAGAAAATAAAATACTTAAAAAAAACTTTTTAAAAAACCACGTTTTTCTTGTGGACTAAAAAGTAGAAAATAACTTTTCATACATTTGATGACAAAAAACGTGGGTCGGGCAGATGGGTCGGGAAATTTGATGGGGAACGTACCCACGTTTTTTGTCATCAAATGTATGAAAATTTATTTTCTACTTTTTAGTCCACAAGAAAAACGTGGTTTTTTAAAAAGTTTTTTTTAAGTATTTTATTTTATTCTTAACTCAGCTTCGCGTTTGTGGATTTGTTTGTTTGTTGTTAAAATTGACATCGAAAATTAGCCCACTTCTGATTGCTCTACAGATCTGAAATTTGGCATACAGGCTACTTTCGCCTAACAATTTCAGATGCAATCATAAAAACTAGCAATTAGAGACCGTAATTAGCTTAATTTAATTACGCCCCAAGGACCATAAAATTGAGGACATGATTTCTAAAGATACCGACAAGACTGGAGGCTTATAGACACAGTTACTTCGGCCCCAATCGATGTGAGCGCGCTGGCCGTGATCGTATAGTGGTTAGTACTTCGCGTTGTGGCCGCGACAACCCAGGTTCGAATCCTGGTCGCTCAAGATTTTTTTAGTCCGTGTATTCATAAACACTTAGTCAAGTCATACTTAATCAAGTCATTAGATAAAGTAGAAAATAAACTATATATACAACTTTTTTAAAAACCACGTTTTTCATGTGTAGCAACGGACTAAAAAGGAGAAAATAAAATACTTAAAAAAAACTTTTTAAAAAACCACGTTTTTCTTGTGGACTAAAAAGTAGAAAATAAATTTTTCTTTTGTGCTTCCTCGAGCTGTGCAGGTTTTTGTGATGACTGACAAAAAACGTGGGTCGGGCAGATGAGTCGGGAAATTTGATGGTGAACGTACCCACGTTTTTTGTCAGTCATCACAAGAACCTGCACAGCTCGAGGAAGCACAAAAGAAAAATTTATTTTCTACTTTTTAGTCCACAAGAAAAACGTGGTTTTTTAAAAAGTTTTTTTTAAGTATTTTATTCTAACTAGTCTTTGATGAGTGTTTTTCCCACGTTTTCTTTAACTTGCTTTCGCGTCTGTTTGGTTCTCCAATCAAATCTTGCGATCGAAATTTCGGGCACTTCCCGGTTAGCTAGCGCGCTGAAATTTTCAGGGAAGCTTTGTTTCCGATGACCATAGAATATTCAATTGTTATTATTACTAAATTTATCCATGGAAACATTTTATTGATCATTTTAGGCCGCTATATAATTGTACAAAAACGTGGGGGAAAAGGGACATAACCCAGTAACTGTAATTTGATGAAAACAAGGTTCGGGACTCTCCCTCTTTTTGCTTACTGACTAGTGTTCACGCAGTGTTTGTGTACAAACAACCAGAACGTAACAACTGGTGGCCAGTATGGGGGAGACGATATGGTCGAGTGGTTGGGCACACGATTGCTATCCCACTCGGCGCGGGTTCAAATCTATGTGTTCTAGTCAGTAACGTATTCACACAACGTGTTTGTTACGAGTTGTCTTTTTTCGAGACTTTAATGCTATACAACTTTTACGAGATTTTAATGCAAACAAACAGACAAAGACTAAAAAGTAGAAAATAATAATCATTAAAAAAGTTTTAAAAAACCCACGTTTTCTGATTGAACTAAAAAGTAGAAAATAAATGTTATACATCACAATAATGCAAGCGATCACTCTACTATAAGCGATCAAAAACGTGGGGCGCCGTGATTTTCTTACAGTTTCTAATACTGTTGACTCTCTACAAGCTCCCTAATAAAAGTCAATAGTATTAGAAACTGTAAGAAAATCACGGCGCCCCACGTTTTTGATCGCTTATAGTAGAGTGATCGCTTGCATTATTGTGATGTATAACATTTATTTTCTACTTTTTAGTTCAATCAGAAAACGTGGGTTTTTTAAAACCTTTTTAATGATTATTATTATCCTATTTAAAGTTGTGTTTCTTTGAGATAATTTTTTTTTTTTAATTTTGAAAATGAAATAAGATAACATTATTGGTGCAAACCACAGCCATAGTGTAATCTAGATTATCTAGAACAATATGGATTCAGAACAATTTTTTTGCGTAACAAAGGATTGGATCAGTAATCAACCGAAATATTACTTAAAGAGAACATTTGATTATTAAAAATCTTAATTGTGTTTTTATTATTACTGTTGTGTTCATTCAAAATATTTGTTGATATTATTATTTTAGATAAATAATTAAAGTTTGTTTTAAAATAAAAAGATTATAAAACTTATTTCCCAAGTAAAAAACAACTCACAAAAAGAAAACCCTTAAGTCAATATATCTGTTTATGCTAAAATGCCTACTTCTACACATTTTCAAAGATTGTCTCCCCTATTAAATAAAGCAAGCCACTAAATTGTATATAGGCTTAGGAGTTTATATATCTTTTGTACATTAAAAAATTATTAATTTGTTGTTGTAAACAGTAGGTCATCGGAGTCAGAGGTCAGCCTGCCTCTAGTCGATGTGTTCTGGACAGGTGCTGCACAGGATAGCGCCATTTTTTACATCAACTGCTCAGATCGTTTACACGCCTGATGTTGGTGCTTGTTAGCGGGCTGTTTGTGGTAGGGGGTCGTCCTTAAATGACGTCACACTCGTAGGGGGAGGGGGATCCGTAATTTTGTGACGGTGTGTGATGAGGGGGATGGGGAAGGGGGAGGTTTAGATGGTGTGACGTCACACTTTTGCATTATAAAAAAGCAATGTTAGAAAACGAGTTTTAGCCATTTTTTTTCGCGGTTTAGAAAACGGTTTTAATAAATTGTAATATAAATTGATCAAAATACTCTATCTTGACAGAGTTCTGACAAGATTTTGGAAAAATATCGATGTTTTAAGAAAAATTCAACAGCAATTTTGAGGAGGGTTGTAGGCTGAGGTGTGACGTCATTTTAGGGGGGGGGTCTGGCTTTTTGTGACGACGTGTGACGGAGTGGAGGGGGAGGTAAAATCGTCAAAAAGAGCGTGACGTCATTTAAGGATGACCCCTACGCTCAAATCCAGCCTGGCTATACTGTACTACATCAGTTAAGTATGTGCTTGTAGCTTTAAGGTAAGTACCTGTAGCTTTAAGTATGTGCCTGTAGCTTTAAGTATGTGCCTGTAGCTTTAAGTATGTGCCTGTAGCTTTAAGTATGTGCCTGTAGCTTTAAGTATGCGCCTGTAGCTTTAAGTATGTGCCTGTAGCTTTAAGTATGTGCATGTAGCTTTAAGGTAAGTATGTGCCTGTAGCTTTAAGTATGCGCCTGTAGCTTTAAGTATGTGCCTGTAGCTTTAAGTATGTGCATGTAGCTTTAAGTATGTGCCTGTAGCTTTAAGTATGTGCCTGTAGCTTTAAGTATGTGCCTGTAGCTTTAAGTATGTGCCTGTAGCTTTAAGTATGTGCCTGTAGCTTTAAGTATGTGCCTGTAGCTTTAAGTATGTGCCTGTAGCTTTAAGTATGTGCCTGTAGCTTTAAGGTAAGTATGTGCCTGTAGCTTTAAGTATGTGCCTGTAGCTTTAAGTATGTGCCTGTAGCTTTAAGTATGTGCCTGTAGCTTTAAGATAAGTATGTGCATGTAGCTTTAAGTATGTGCCTGTAGCTTTAAGGTAAGTATGTGCCTGTAGCTTTAAGTATGTGCATGTAGCTTAAAGGTAAGAATGTGCCTGTAGCTTTAAGGAAAGTATGTGCCTGTAGCTTTAAGGTAAGTATGTGCCTGTAGCTTTAAGTATGTGCCTGTAGCTTTAAGTATGTGCCTGTAGCTTTAAGTATGTGCCTGTAGCTTTAAGATAAGTATGTGCATGTAGCTTTAAGTATGTGCCTGTAGCTTTAAGGTAAGTATGTGCCTGTAGCTTTAAGTATGTGCATGTAGCTTAAAGGTAAGAATGTGCCTGTAGCTTTAAGGAAAGTATGTGCCTGTAGCTTTAAGTTAAGTATGTGTCTCTAGCTTTAAGTATGTGCCTGTAGCTTTAAGTATGCGCCTGTAGCTTTAAGGTAAGTATGTGCCTGTAGCTTTAAGGTAAGAATGTGCCTGTAGCTTTAAGGTAAGTTTGTTACTGTAGCTTTAAGTATGTGCCTGTAGCTTTAAGTATGTGCATGTAGCTTAAAGGTAAGAATGTGCCTGTAGCTTTAAGGAAAGTATGTGCCTGTAGCTTTAAGTTAAGTATGTGTCTCTAGCTTTAAGTATGTGCCTGTAGCTTTAAGTATGTGCATGTAGCTTAAAGGTAAGAATGTGCCTGTAGCTTTAAGGTAAGTATGTGCCTGTAGCTTTAAGTATGTGCCTGTAGCTTTAAGGTAAGTATGTGCCTGTTGCTTTAAGGTTTTTCGAAGGTTTTTCTGGGCAATAACGCACTTTTTAAAAATAGTACCTCATCGTTTAAATTTGAATACACACAAACGACACTTACACCTCTATGCGATTGATTGATCATTTTTGAGCATATTTGATATTCAATTTCTGATAATTTTATTCTATGAATTAGCAAAAAGAAACACTATAATAGAGCTATAATATTTTATTGTATATATGAAGTAGAACTAGAGAAAACTTGTTTAACGCCTTGTCATCCAAAATGTAGACATCAACACCGACTTTGAATGACGATTCTAGTAGCCTGTGGAAGAGAAGAAAGTAAATAAACAGCTAATGAAAATTTATTCTAACCCATGTTTGTTTTTCTAGATTAAAACTTTTTTCAGAAACAAATCTCTAAGTGAAACTTTAAACATTATTCACTGCTCCTCTTCTACTGTAAATAATTTATATTTTTTAACTTTTGAATTTTCCAGCACTGGTTCTCTTTATTAAAATAACTTGTTTCGCTAATTATTTCAATTGCATATTTTACAACTTATTAATGAATGGCTAATGCAAGAACAAGACTATTAACTACTTTGTCTTCACAAAATATAAAAAGTTTGTTCTGTAATTGTGTCCTGCAAATGGTTAGCTTTTTTAAAAATTTTAAATGATAGAAATAAAATTTCATGAACCAAATCTTCAAACAAGCTAAGTGATGGCAATAGATTGAAAAGGAATATTAACTGTACTACAGGAAAATTATGGAGTTTTTGACATTTTACCGAAAATATTACTTTATTGATGTAATTAAATTAATTTAAGTGTTTTAAATAGCAAAACTCATCTTTATCTTTTGTAAACTAATGTTTTACTTTCATGATGTATTAAACCAAGGCTTTATTTAACTAACCTGAGTGTGAGAAAGATCAAGGGCTGTAACTCACCATATTTCTTGTAACCATAAGACTTGTAGCCGTACTCCTTAGGCTTGTAGTCATAGTTATCGGACCTGTAACCATAGTTGTTGCCCTTGTAGCCATAGTTACTGGGCTTGTAGCTGTCCTTGTAGCCGTAGCTCCTTGGTTTGTAGCCGTAGCCGTAGGCCGCGCCGCTGACAGCAGAGAGCAGGGCCATCAGGAGTAGGCCAACAAACAGCTTGAGACTGGCCATGTTGATACACGCTCCTTACTGTAGCTAAAGGATAAACAGCCTTTAGAAACAGAACCCGCACAATTATGTAGCTATATGATAAACAGCATTTAGAAACAGAACACGCAAATTGATGTAGCTATAAGATAAACAGCATTTAGAAACAGTAAACCTCTCTTAAAATAGCTATATGATAAACAGCATTTAGAAACAGAACACGCACAATGATGTAGCTAAAGATAAACAGCATTTAGAAATATAACACGCCCGAAGTGTAGCTAAAGGATAAACAGCATTTAGAAATATAACACGCCCGAAGTGCAACTAAAGGATAAACAGCATTTAGAAATAAAACACGCCCGAAGTGCAGCTAAAGGATAAACAGCATTTAGAAATATAACTCGCCCGAAGTGTAGCTAAAGGATAAACAGCATTTAGAAATATAACTCGCCCGAAGTGTAGCTAAAGGATAAACAGCATTTAGAAATATAACACGCCCGAAGTGTAGCTAAAGGATAAACAGCATTTAGAAATATAACACGCCCGAAGTGCAGCTAAAGGATAAACAGCATTTAGAAATAAAACACGCCCGAAGTGCAGCTAAAGGATAAACAGCATTTAGAAATATAACTCGCCCGAAGTGTAGCTAAAGGATAAACAGCATTTAGAAATATAACTCGCCCGAAGTGTAGCTAAAGGATAAACAGCATTTAGAAATATAACACGTCCGTAGTGTAGCTAAAGGATAAACAGCATTTAGAATTATAACACGCCCGAAGTGCAGCTAAAGGATAAACAGCATTTAGAAATAAAACACGCCCGAAGTGCAGCTAAAGGATAAACAGCATTTAGAAATACAACACGCCCGAAGTGCAGCTAAAGGATAAACAGCATTTAGAAATATAACTCGCCCGAAGTGTAGCTAAAGGATAAACAGCATTTAGAAATATAACACGCCCGAAGTGCAGCTAAAGGATAAACAGCATTTAGAAATATAACTCGCCCGAAGTGTAGCTAAAAGATAAACAGCATTTAGAAATATAACACGCCCGAAGTGTAGCTAAAGGATAAACAGCATTTAGAAACAGAACCCACACAAAGATGTAGCTAAAGGATAAACTGCATTTAGAAACAAAACACATGTCGTGATGGAGCTAGATGAGAAACAGAACACGCCCCGTATTTAGTTACATGATAAATAGCATATAGAAACAGACGATCAGACGTATATTGGAGGTAACGTTCTTACTAGGTGACACCATCCATAGGGGTGACACCAAAACGAAACTATTTTAATTAGAAAATATGCTTTCAGGTTAGTTTATTAGCTTATTAAATTTACACACATCCTCTGTGCTCGTTCATCGAAGTGAAGTTAGATGACTTTTGTATAAAATAATTTTAGTCACTTCAGTTTAGCGATAAAGGTTAGAACTTAAGACACTATAAAAAGACAATGTACAGATAATTTAAAACTGGTATCGCTAAAATTTTATTAGAGACTTGAAATCATTTTAGAAATGCCAAGTCTTAAACTAAGATCTAAATACCTCGCGTTGACAGAAACTTACCTGAATGAAGTATCAAACGGTAAAGATTTGACTACGAATGTTATTGCCTACACCCCAGCAGGTTTTTATAGAACTCCTCAGGATTTACAAGCAAACGACTAATTAAATGCATTTGGACAAATCTCGAGGTTTAAGATAATTGAAATAATTATAATTGGAGATCAGCTGTATCGTGTAGTCTGGTTTGGATTTCAATTGCTCTACATATGTTGTTTTTTTTTACCTCACGCAAATATGCATACGTTTGTGTGTGAATGAGTGAGAGAGTGCGTGTGGGTATGTGTGTGTGTTAGTGTCTGCTAGCATGAATGCATATATGCAACAAATGATTTTATCATTACTTGAAGACGCCTTCAAGTTAAGTCAGGATACTAACAACGCTTTCAAGGACGATGTTTTCCAAGTGATACAACGCCCCGAGACATACAAGTCCCTAATGCATGTTAATCTTGTGGGCTGGTTTTTATTTTATTAATTCGACCAGAAAACAGTACGAATGCACCTAAAACTTAAGGGTTTTTATGTGTGTGTGGGGGGGGGGGGGGGGGGGGGGGCATAACATTTCCAATGCATCTAAATCTGTGGTTCCATCGAACCCCAGAGATTCGGCGAGTCAGTTTCATGGGTTCGGAAGAGATACGCACCCGACTCATTTGATTCCCAGTCAGATTTTGTCATTGTGGACGATAGAACTATTTAGAAGGGTTCGGTTAATGCGCATAATTATGTGGGGTTAAGTACATGCAAAAATCGTTAAGAACCACAGGCCTTAATCTTTGCTTAACTAAAATTTCAGTAATAATGCCCCTATTTATTGTGATTTCTGCTAATCAAAATGTATACTTGTACATATACTCTCATATGCCCTTATATTTCATATTTATTGTTTATAGAAATGTACATGTGTACACAAAAAGGACAATTGTCCTTAGATAATTTATTTCATATTTCTAGAAATTTAAATGTAAACATACAACTGTCCCATGGCCGTAGATCTTCTATTCCTTGCTTATGAAAATAAAAATAAACTGTTTAGAAAATTTATCCCTGATCTTATATTCCTTGTTTAAACAAATTTAAATGTGTATACAAACCTGCCATTAGATCTTGTTTTTAAATGTTGTTTGTTTATCTCTCGTTGACATAAATGATAAGCTACAGCATAACGACTAGTTCTATCACCTATCCTCATTATGCCCAGTAGGATCAACATCACAAATAGACTAGAGATTATGTATTTTAACCAGTTTTTTTACCTGCGTGCCTTAACCCAATTAATCCATGTCTATCCCGCGTTTTACCTGTGTCCCAGATTTTCTTAGTCAGGTGTCTTAATTTCACGTGAAGATTGTGTCATGGTCAGCATTTTTAGACTGACAAAATGTATTCAATACTCTAATACACCTTAATTCGTTTCATTTTAATACTTGTCGCGACGTAAGATTAAATGTAATCCTTATGTAAATGGTTAAATACAGTGGCGTTGCTAGGTTAGGGTTCAATAAAAGCGAGTCTTTGTTTTTTTACTTATATGAGTCAAAGTTTGAGGTGTGTACGCCCAAGTACAGATGTACATTAACGCCTTTGGCTTGTTTTTTTTCTTCAAAAATTTGGCAACTGGATATTCTATAAATGTAATATAAAGAGTAATGGCCAGAGTGTTATTTTACCATATTGGTATAATGTGTTATATGGGGCAGGGGTTGCCGTTTATTATATTTTTAAATTATTTTCTTATGTTTAGACTTGGTGGACGAAACAGTCATCAATATCCTTTCTTTTGTAATGCGTCGGTCACACCTTAGTGATCAGGTGACAATTGCTTGTTTAAACGACAGCGGTCATTGCGGAGCTAAGTTTGTGGTAGTGTGCATGCAAACAACAGCAGTATTGTGGATGCTTACTCAGCCATGGCCTCTTTCTTGACCTCGCAGAAAGGTTATAGGACATAAGTTTCTGGTGAATTTATGTTTATTAAAGCCATAAGTGGTGTAGCAGGCAAAGAGATTTAGAAATGCGAAGTTAGAAGAAGTCGAGCAAGAGTTCAAACAATAGATGATCACATAGTAATGGAGAGGTGTGATCATAACCATGCACCTTCCACCAAAAAAAAAAACGTAAGCGTTATGTTTGAGTTGATGCTGCAATAAAAACAATTGTATTACGTTACGAACCTGATGACCCTGATAAATCTTTTGATGCTTTGTTAATTAAGTTTAACAAATTCATTTTATTCACAATTATAAAGTAAACAAAACCATATTGACAATTAATATAAAATGTTTAAATCAACTAAAATCAACCAATACACTATTAAAATTTTGCTGTGAGATATTTTGTCTGAGATATTTTGTTTGAGATCATTTGTCCTTGATATAATTTGTCCTGAGATCATTTGTCCTGAGATCATTTGTCCTGAGATCATTTGTCTTGAGATCATTTGTCCTGAGATCATTTGTCTTGAGATCATTTGTCCTGAGATCATTTGTCTTGAGATCATTTGTCCTGAGATCATTTGTCCTGAGATCATTTGTCTTGAGATCATTTGTCCTGAGATCATTTGTCTTGAGATCATTTGTCTTGAGATCATTTGTCTTGAGATCATTTGTCCTGAGATCATTTGTCTTGAGATCATTTGTCTTGTCACCAGAAGAGTTGACCATTGTTTGTAAAGAATTTGTTCTAAACAATTTTTTTTTTCAAAAAAAAAAGGAAGTGATCACCAAAAATTTAAAACTAATAATTATATGACAAATATTAAAATAGAAAGACATCATCGATTAAGTTAAAAAAAATATCCTCATTATGTCTGGTAAGCTTATTTAAACATATTATAAAATGATTAACGCGGGGCATTACCCTTCATAGTTAAATTACTACACTGAAAGAGGACCTAACCGTAAACAATATTTATAAAGTTATTTTACTGGGTTATAGACCCTGTGGGATAGCTTTTTCAATAAGATTATTTTATTTACTTTATTTCTTTTTTAAATGTAATGTTGGGAGGGATATCCTCCAACACAATTGAGAATCACGTGTCAACATGTTATGCGCCATATGACCCGTTGACTACCATTTCAGCCTTCTTTTCTTTCTGGTTTGCTTCTATAGCCTTTGTCCACCCAAGCACTAACAACAGGCAGCAGTTGTTTGATTTTGGAGTTGTCTCCCTTAGATGGGTTGCTGTCCTCAACTTACAAGCTTTATCTGCCCGGCGGTTCAGTGTTTCTTTCACTTTTTTCCGGGGGGGGGGGGCGGAAATCGGTAAAGTATATATTATCCATATAAATTCCATTTCGATCGGGGTAGGGGAGGGGTGGGGGAATTCTGCCAATTCCCCCCCCCCCCCCCCCCCCCCCCCCCGCCGAAGAGATGCCTGGAAGAAACTGCGGAAGTTAACTGGGGACTTTTCGGTTTAGTAATCTTAAGCTTTACCGACCCGACCATGAAGTCCCTTAAATCTACTTTAATGTCAGCAAATCTAACAGATCTAACAGGTATATCACGTAGTGACGTGCGGGGTACCAGGGTGTAGAGAGGATATTTTCACGGGGACGGTGAGATGAACAAGAGCCTCCAGTAGCAGCAGTCCAGTCCAGCATTGTTAGTTGTGTAGTCCACGTTTTACTTAACAAGTGCAGTTGAAAGTACAGGCTTAATGAAGGGCTATTCATCTTTGACGTCATGGTAATTATCGTTGTTGTTGTAACCATCATCGTCATTTTACACGGCGTCGACAAAGGCATCGTTGTACGGTTGTAGTTTATTACTTTATAGTATTTGTACGTGTGTGGATCTGTGTGGGTACGCTCGACTGCGCACATTGAAGAGTGACTACCACTGGCTATATAAGAGTGACTATTACTGGCTATAAAAAAAAAGGTGTGTTCAGTGGTTTTTCTCGTAACCATCGTCTGAATGCACTGAACCACAGTCACACGCTATTTTGTCACGTCACACCCCATTTGTCACACCCCATTTTGTCATACCCCATTTGTCACACCCCATTTTGTCATACCCCATTTTGTGACACCCCATTTTGTCACACCCCATTTTGTGACACCCCATTTTGTCACACCCCATTTTGTCATACCCCATTTTGTCAAACCCCATTTATGTACTGCCTATCTATTCAGAAGCAACTAACCTTAACAAGACCGAAAAAATAGTATTTATACTGTATTTATACAGATATTTGTGTTGTATCTGTATATACCGTATATGTTGTATAGGGATAGGGATATGTTATCCTGTCGCCACACCTGGGACATAGGACACCAACTGTTATGACGAGCGAGAGGAAGGCGGATTGAAAAAATGTACAGAAGAGGAATAAACAAGTTGGAAACAACATGTAGGGATGTTGTGTTTTTGGTGCGCTTAATGCAGTATGCGGTGAATGAAAGTCGACCTCAGCAAGTTGTGGTCTCTATTAACAAGAGAACAAAAGTCGACTTCAACATGATCCTTTTCTACAGATTTCTGTGTTTCATTATCTGTTGTCGTTATTTCAGTTTTATTCTGTACCTGTGTCTAGCTTTTGCGTGTAAATAATTCTTTATGAGTTACCGTCAAATGTTGATCGCATTCTACTTTGTACTACAATAAAATAATGCACGTATGTATTAGCCAAGTACGATTTATAAAATTGCTGTGCAGGCTTACTTTACTGGCTTACTTTACATGCTAACTTTACTCGCTAACTTTACTGGCTATTTTTACTGGCTAACTTAACTGGCTAACTTTACTGGCTAACTTAACAGGCTGACTTAACTGGCTATTTTTACTGGCTAACTTTACTGGCTAACTTTACGGGCTAACTTAAATGGCGAACTTTACTAGCTAACTTTACTGGCTAACTTTACTGGCTAACTTTACTGGCTAACTTAAATGGCGAACTTTACTAGCTAACTTAACAGGCTAACTTAACTGGCTATTTTTACTGGCTAACTTTACTGGCTAACTTTACGGGCTAACTTAAATGGCGAACTTTACTAGCTAACTTTACTGGCTAACTTTACTGGCTAACTTTACTGGCTAACTTAAATGGCGAACTTTACTAGCGAACTTTACTGGCTAACTTTACTGGCTAACTTTACTGGCTAACTTGAATGGCGAACTTTACTGGCTAACTTTACTGGCTAACTTGAATGGCGAACTTTACTGGCTAACCTGCTCTGGGTCTAAACTGCGGCCAGAGCTAAAAAAAATATATGTGACACGGATTTAGCAAGTAAAATATTTACGGTATGGGGATAGAAATATGTTTTTCCTGAAAGTCTGAGTGATGACATCGTTTTGAACGTAATCATTTTAAGATTTCCACAGTAATTATTAAAAACAACAATGATCAACAGAAAGAAATATTTATTACTTATCGATGTTCATTTTTTTCAGACATATAATATTGGTAGCGTATATTATCCTTGTACACATTTCTTCCGCTATTGCATTACAATGTTCCTCATTCGACATATGAGGACTGTTGTAGATTTACATTGATAGCTATTTCTTTCGCTCTGAAGATTTTTGTGAAGTATGAGCTTCATTTATGAAAATAAAGATGAAAACTGGGAGGAGAGGGGGTATGAATACCTACGGGAGAGGGGGGTGGATTGAGAAAGCAGCGGGGATGGGGGCATCTAAATGAAAAAAATATATGTTACAAATCATATCAGTGTTCATATTACATTTTTTTTAAAATGGCGACATTTTACTTTAGTAAGTTTTTGGAAACTTTTATTTTACTTTAGCCTTTAAAAATAAACCGGGAGTGATCTCCCCTAAACTTTCTCGAATATTCTAATATAACACTACGTGGGATGTCAACTCGGAATATAGACATGATTTTTGTTTACTTAAACTTTTAAAAATAGAATAAAATCTAGTAGAAAAAAAATGCGCACCAAGCTAGCACCAAAACCAAATGTGCGTAATAGTGCGCAATATTATTAGTACTTTAAAAATTTACATTAGTTTTTTGAGAAATCGGAAGTAGCGTAAATTACTACTTCCGGTCAACGGAAATTACTCAAAATTTAACAGAGGGTAGAGAATTAGATCTTTTACTTACATGTGAAATTTCATTTATCTATCTGAAATAGTACTCAAGTTATAGGCTTTTGAAAAATTCAAAGTAGAAAAAGTACCACTTCCGGTTGTCGGAAATCGCTCAAAAGTCGATACGGATCTACGATTTTGATATAATACTTATATATGAAATTTCATCAACCTAGCTGTAACGGTACTCAAGTTATCGTGTTTACACACGGACACACAGACACACAGACACACACACACACAGACATACGGACAATATTGCAAAATTATGTTTTTCCGACTCAGTGAGGTGTAAAACGTCGAGATTTGTAAAAATCTCGATTTTTTTTTTGCACGATTACAATACTTTCTCTATACTACGTATATACGAGAAAGTAAAAATCTAAATCTAATTACAATTTTTACTTTCTCGTATATACGAAGTATAGAGAAAGTCTTGTAATCGTGCAAAAACAAAATCGAGATTTTTGCAAATCTCGACGTTTTACACCTCACTAATACGGAAAAACATAATTTTGCAATTTTGTCCGTATGTCTGTGTTTGTGTGTGTGTCTGTCTGTCTGTGTGTGTGTCTGTAAACACGATAACTTGTGTACCGTTAAGGCTAAGTTGATGAAATTTTAAATATAAGCATTTATCAAAATCGTAGATCTGTATCAACTTTTGAGCGATTTCCGATAACCGGAAGTGGTACTTTTTCTACTTTCTGGCTTCTATCAAATTATGAGTAATTTCCGTTTACCGGAAGTAATAATTTACACTATTTTCGATTTCTCAAAAAACTAATGTAAAATTCATGTCTATATCCCCAGTTCCCATCCCCTGTTTTTTTATATAAGAATATTCGAGAAAGTTTAGAGGAGATCACTCCCGGTTTATTTTAAATTAGTGGAACGTGTAAAATATTAATACAATTAACAATTCCCCAGTAACTCGGTTTAACAAATATGTATACTTATCGTACGGAGTTGCAAACCCTGAATTACTTATTTCAGCTTGTTCTGTTAGGAAATAATGCTTGCTTGAAATATTCGTAAAGTAATTATTATGTCTTTTATTATAGGTTCCTCGCTGGCCAATTAATTAAACTGCGGTGCATTATATTTCATACATAACCTACACCTACAAAAAAACAAGCATTATGTTCTACTTTTTCTTAACTAAATCTGAAACCGCGTTCTTCCTAGGTCTGTTCACATGTACGACACTACATCATGCATGACTGCACTGTCCAAATTTAAATTTTCAATTTATTAATCTCTTGTTTAAAATTCAGAATTATGACACTCCCATTCAGAAATATCCTAATCCACAAAGTCAGTTACCGTTTACGCACACACACACACACACACAAAAATTTTTAAAAGGAAATTAAGGAAAAGTATATTAATTCCTTAAAAACGCGTTAAATTTTTTAAATACATGTTTTATTAGCATAAGCTCAGCACAAAAGCAGCAGCCAGTTCTTGTTTCCGCCAAGTCAGAGAGTGAAAGATGTCAAAACCTGAACAGATATCCTGGTGGTGCAAGTTCTGGAATCAAAGAATAGCTTGTTTTATTTACGTGACAAAACGGTTGTTGAACTTCTTATTCTTTGTTCTTAAGTTTGGTGTTAAAAAGGGATTCCCTCCAAAACAATTAAGTATACGCATCAACTTGTTATGCGCCATATAGGCCGTTGACTTCGATTTCAGCCTGCTTTACTTTTTGGATTTGCTTCTATAGCCTTTGTCCAACCAAGAACAAACTACAAGCCAGCAGTTGTTTGATTTTATTTTGGAGTTAACCAATCTTGCACTTCTTATTAAGTATTTAATTTAATATTATAACAGAATGAAAGCAATTAGTTAAAATTTAGCTTATGATTTAAAGGTTGAGGGCACGATTGCTAAACCGAGAATAAAGTCTCGAGTTCGAATCCCTATTATTTTACTCACGTTAGGTAAAGGCGACTGTGCATATATGAGACCACGATATCTCTTTATATGAAACAGAAACAACTGAATTTTAATTCATTTACCACATGGACCGTCAGGTTCAAAATGGGTTACTTCACTTTAACACTCTAATTAGTTTCTGGTTGCATGACAAATAGTAGAGGAAGTGGTTTTGTCTTTTTTTTTTTTTTTTGCTAAAACGTTGATACATAGTTGTATCAGTCTGTTCTCTTAGATATTTATTTTAAATTTGTTATAAAAAATGCTAGTACTTACAGTTGTAATAGCTAGGTTTGGGCTTGTAGTCATCTTTAGGGGCTGGGTAGACTTCTTTAGGCTTGTTGTCAACTTTGGGGGCTGGGTAGCCGTAATCTACGGTCTTGTATCCGGAAGCTTGGGGCTTGTAGTCTACTTTAGGGGCTGTGTAGGCATCTTTGGGCTTGTAGTCTACTTTAGGGGCTTGGTAGGTTTCTTTAGGCTTGTAATCGTCCTTTGGAGCTGTGTAGGCATCTTTGGGCTTGTAGTCTGCTTTAGGGGCTGTGTAGGCATCTTTGGGCTTGTAGTCGTCTTTAGGGGCTGTGTAGGCATCTTTGGGCTTGTAGTCGTCTTTAGGGGCTGTGTAGGCATCTTTGGGCTTGTAGTCGTCTTTAGGGGCTGTGTAGGCATCTTTGGGCTTGTAGTCTGCTTTAGGGGCTGGGTAGCCGTAATCTTTGGGCTTATAATCATCTTTTTGGGCTGCATATGCTTCTTTAGGCTTGTATTCACCTTTTTCGGCTTTGTACCCATAATCTTTATCATTATAATCTTTCTTTTCAGCTTTGTAGCCATAATCTTTGTCCTTATAATCTTTGTTTTCGGCCTTGTAGCCATAATCCTTGTCCTTATAATCTTTGTTTTCAGCTTTGTACCCATAATCTTTGTCCTTATAATCTTTCTTTTCAGCTTTGTACCAATAATCTTTGTCCTTATAATCTTTCTTTTCGGCCTTGTAACCATAATCTTTAGACTTGTAATTCTCTTTTTCCGCCTTATAATCGGTCCCTTTGTAATCTTTATTCTCGGCCTTGTAACCATAATCGTTGTCTTTCTCCGGGTTGTAGCTTTCTTTTTTCTCCTTGTAATCGTCTCTCTTGTAGTCTTCGTGACGGCTTTTCTTCTTGGCGTAAGCCGATGAGACCACAACTACCAAGGCAATGCACACGAGTAGTTTAAGACTGGCCATGATGTTACACTCTCCCTATATGGAAATGTAAATTTGTTTATATATTATGAGAAACAATCTACACCATTTTAAATCATTAATTCAAGTTGCAAGTTTATATCGCAAGTATTTTCGAGGTAATTTCTTTAATATTTGGATCTGACCAAATGAAAAAGTATTTAAAATTCATTTTGCCAAAGCAAAATTTACGTTCAATTTTGGATATAGAGGGAAATAAAACCTTAAGTTAAAGTGACCCTCAAAAACGCTTTATTCGGAATGGGAAGGCAAGCGCTTGAATGTAGGCTACTCCTCAGTAAATATGAGAAGACACAAACGTATAAGTATGAGGAAATCGATTAAAAAGTAAACTGCATATTCTGAAATGATTTGTTGTGAATAGGAGATTTGTGACTCCATTCATATAAGTGACGTCTTGGCCCCTAACACAATCTAACAGAACACGTTAAATTCGCTGGAAATATAGAAGCCTTTATCTGTGTATCTCTTAAATCCTAACGCTTAAACTAACTCACCTGACTGACAAGCAAAGACTGGGCTACGATTTTTCAACGGCTAGACTACACCTTATATACAACGTATCGCCGTACGAGAATTAGATTTGTGCTCATGACAAGCCAGATTTAATACATACAGGGGGATAATCCCCGAGATTAACTGATCAGTAACAAATCTTTAAAAAGTAAAAACAATCTTATAGTATCTAGTTTTGTGATCTTTAATCCGATGAGTCGTCAATATGGGCTGTTTTAATTGAAGTCTCTGATGCTTGGGAGATGGGTTTTTGATGTTTGGGGTTGAGATGCCGTGTGTATTTGGGTTAAGAAGTTTTTGTTCTTTAGATCTATGTCTGTGATTTTTGTATATGCATTATATTTATAGCTATGGGTTGTAATGTAAGTTCACCAAACATTATAGTAGAGGTTTTATGCACAGATTAGGGTTTTGTTGTCGTTGTGGTTAGTTTTAGTCTTACGCTAATACTAAGGCTTTGGCCTTGGGGTGGGGGGAATTAACCATGGGGAGGGGGTAATTGCCCGGGTGATGATAATGTCATAGACCATAAATACATATCAACATCATCAGTGCTGTGGACCCCTAGTAGTGCATAGGGATGCTACCACACCATTGTACTCGGCTTTTGGCAATTCCTTCAAGTTGAGCCCACGTCATTCCGTCTGCTTTCGTATAACTGACGGCAGACCTTTTGTTTTGGCCTACCTACTTTCCTCATTCCTTGGGGATTTTAATCAAGTGCCTGTTTGGTGATGTTGCTAGTTTGTTTACCCAGGGTGTTTCCAATCCATCCCCGTTTGCGCTTTTTATCTCTTTGCTAATACGGTCTTGCCCAGTTTTTATCTCATTAGTATTTTTTTCAGGTCACCTGATGTTCAATATGTGACGCAGGCATCCTTTAATACAATTCTAAAGTCTGTTGTTAATAGTTTATGTTACTCTCCACATCTCAGAACCATAGATTTCATAGTGCTGCTAAACAGGCGTATTTTGGAATGTGTGTTGAATAGGGCCTAGATACCTGGCATTGAAAATACGTTTTTTTTTAATGTCCTCATCTGCTCTCCCATCCTTGCTTACTACACTTCCGAGATATGTGAAGCCATCCACTTCCTGAGTAGTTATTTCTTGTGACCTATGTGGCAGCTCCTGTTTTTTTTTTTAAATTCTCATCACCTCTGTATTTTCCCAAATAATCTTTAAGCCTGTCTTCAGTGTTTCTTTGCTGCGTTTGATTAGCTTGCACTGGGCAAACTGTTGTGGATGTGTGGATACCAATATCATCCTCAAAATCTAGGTCCTCCAGCTCTCAACTCTCTCTCTATCTCTCTCTCTCTCTCTCTCTCTCTCTCTATATATATATATATATATATATATATATATATATATATATATATATATATATATATATATATATATATATATATACATATACATATACATATATATATATATATATATATATACATATACATTTATATAGGCCTATATGTATATATGAATAATATATGATATATATATGATATATATATATATATATATATATATATATATATATATATATATATATATATATATATATAAGGTCTATTTACCTATAGATCTGTGTATGTATGTGTGAGTGTAAAGGTGTGAGAAGATATTAAGCTGGATAATGGAATGCAACCTATAGAATCTTAAGAGACCGCTGTTCGTGTGTACAACGAATCCAAGGAGGCAGATAACATTCCTCAGTCACGAACTCAATGCACGTTTTAGCTTCATTAGATCTCAACTTTATGTGTAGTAAAGGGTGGTTTTGAAGGGACATAAACGTTCGTGTCAAAACTCTCACAATTAGCCTAATTTAAATGATCTATATCAGTGTTCAGTCTTTGTTTAATCGCGACTTCAAGCGTATCAAGATCTTGCGTTTTTTAGTACCAAGAATAAATTGTAAAGTTAAATTATTGTTAAGCTTGCATTTCAAATTTTAAGTCGATCAGTTGTAACTACTAGATTAATGAGGATTATATCAGCCAAAGCTTCACAGTGCAAAATATCTTTGAATTTATCTGTTTAACACTTTTAAGTCTCTATTCGTTCAGAAACAATAAATAGAATTTGCGAATGCTTTATAAACACATATATAAAGCTTTCTTTTTCTAGATTTATAATTTTACTTTGAAGCAGCACGTCTAAAATCATGAATAAGTTGAAATACTCTATCTAGCTGCAGTAGATAATGTGGTAATAAAACTGTTATTTTGTTTGTTTGTTTGTTTCTTGTTTTTTTTTTGTGTGCATAAAACGTAACTATGGCTCTTAACAAGGCTAAACCTTTGCCCTGAACCGAAAGTTAATCCCGAACCAATCCTTGATCCAATGCTCATCGTAAAGTTATACTATCTATTGTGTTTTACACCCTGCTTACAGATACAACCCTCAAGGCAACATTTGAAAGGTTGAATATTTTTACCCTAACCCAGCCTTAAGGTGTTAATAAATGGATTTTTAGCTTTCCTTGGGCTTTTATAGAAAATCTGGGTTCTAAAATTACCACAAAAAATTAAATCTATAGGATTAATCTGAAGAAACTAGTTCGTTGACCCTTGCCTAAAAGAAGGTCAGTTATTATTAGACCTGTCTTAGATAAAACAGTAATCTGTACAACTTAAGAACTGTTATTACAAAAACGTTATTTTAACGAATAGTCTTTGTTTTGTTACTTACCTATATTTATGCTTTATCTTTGATTTTGATGGTAGTAGTTTAAGGTACAGCAGAATAATGAAATGTCGGAGTAAGATTACTCGACGGGGAACTAAGGAATTTAGTTCAAACAACAAAATAATCTACCAAACATCGTCAGGTATTTACTAAGACTGGTGTTAAACATTTTTTTTGTTTCTGAGATGTCGTTAAATTATTAGCACGGTGTAGCTATCAGCTATTCCTAGATACCCAATGTATAATTTTGTTATTGATTAGGACTCGAATTATTTAAATGTACATGTTGGCAACAAATTTCATGTAATATATTATAGTCCTACATGTTTATATATATAGATTTGATATTTTTATTTTGTTTTTTACAATCAGTCAAAACAGGTATCAATTAACTTAAGTTAATAAGCTTAATGATGTTTAAATGTCGTGTTGTGTTTTAATGGTTGTTGTTTAAGCACAAATAAAATTTTGAACGGGCGCTAAAATCTATTTCATCATAGAAATCCTGTGGTGTACATTTGTAACGTTTGCGCAGTTTTAAATAATTATAATTGAAAATAGTTTAACTCTGATTGGTAAACAAAAACGGAGTGGGATAGAAAATTGGTGGTCGCTAGCTTGAAAAAAAAAATGTTTTTCAAGCAAATGTTTCTAAAACATTCATTTATATGTTTGAGGATTGCTATGCCCATGCGGCAAGTCTAGCTACTGTCATGGGAAACTGGTTTTAACGGGAAATTTTTAATATGTTTTTCCCTCTGCAATGTATTTCAAGAACGCGACTAAAAATGAAAAAAAGAGAGTGGTATTTATTAAGATTCTTTCCCAACTAATATTTTATTTTAAAATGGTAGGTAAAAATCAAATATCAGTCAAATTTATTTTATTAAATATACAATAAATCCAAATAGAATATTTATTAATGAAAAGAATGTTTATATATTCTAATTTCAAATGTATTGTGCTACATAAACAATAAAAAGAGTTGTAAGAATAATAATTTAATTATTCTAAACTACTATGTTATGTACATAATCAGAACAATTACTATAAGGATTTATGCCCTGCAGCAAGTAGCATCAGGTGGATATTCATCCTAACAATACTAATGTAACACCCGCAAGGAAATAAAGACAAACATTACAAAGTACGTTGATGGTAATAAAACTGCTTTTTAGTGTAGACGTCGCGGTAAGTAGCGCAGCTGAAGTAAACGTACACTCATACACATCAACACACAACCTGTATCGCGCGCTCTTACTCTATAACAAATGCACTAAAGTTTTATAAATTAGTGCATTAATAGTTGATTGGATAGCAATTAACACGTAGCTAGAGAAAAATTTATTCCGAATCTCAATCACGGCCACTTCGGTCTAAAATAAGGGGTGCAATATAATTTGGACCTGGAAATTCTAGTTGACCTCTAACTTTGATCACAAGACAGTGCATGCAAGGTTTTGACCACGAGACTGTTGGCTTTTGTGCGTGTAAAGTTTTTACCACGAGCTAGAGACACATGAACTCTGCTCGAAATAAGTCATCAATGAAATTTTGATTCGACTGAACCAAAGACTTAGGCTAGATGACAAGTTTGTTATACTACACCTAAAACTTTGGAGAAAAAAAAAAAGCTTGTTTAACTGGAACAAAGATTTGGATAAAATAAAAGGGGTTTTTTTTTTGTATTAATACGACGACACGAAAAAAATGACGTGTTTGTTGTACTAGAAAAAGTACTTTGAAAAAACGAAAACTTTTTGTACTGTACCTAAGACTATTGGAAAAAAACAGAAAGTTTTTGTACTGGAACTAAGACTTGGAAAAAGAGCATGTTAGTTCTAGTGGCCCAAAGACGTAGACGCAAATATCAAAAATCCAAGTGTAACACTGATCCAGATGACCAAAAACACCACAAAAGAAACTTTATCCATGTATTTTCCGGTCACTTTGTACCTATTTACTTCCGGTTTCTCTTCATTCTGGACTTGAGATGAAAATGATAGGACCGCTTTACCTAGTGTTGTCATCTGCACTTTGTCATTGCCTGTGGGGGGTTCATTGTCGAGAGGCGCCACCGAGTTTTTTGCTTTGGTAAGTGCGTCTTTAAATTTTCTCTTGGCTTTAAGATGTTGGCGTTCTTTCTGATCAAGGAGAAACCAATAACAGCCGTTAATACGCAAAATAGCAAGGCTCATATATATATATATATATACATATATATATATATATATATATATATATATGTATATATATATATATATATATATATATATATATATATATATATATATATATATATATATATATATATATATATATATATATATATATGCGTGTGTGTGTATGTGTGTATAAATGCATTTGCTATTATTTATAGTATCTTATTGAGGTGATCATTGTATACGAGCTGACCCGCGACGTAGCATACGCCGCTATCTAAATGTTTTATTTTCTACTTATCAACAATTCATAATTTGTGAATTCGACACTACAGATTCATGTACTTACCTCCTCCCTGTGTGAGAGGTAGACGATGACGATGCTATCGATGACGGTCAACATGGAGATGATGAGCAAGATGAAGAGGTAGATGGTGACAATGGGCATGGATCGTGATGACCTGGGCAACATGCCCCCTACGATACTCATAAATACGGACAGTGCCAGCAGTACGGTGATACCTGTAGGTATTTGTGGGTTCAGGGGTGACAACTTAACGGTAACATTTTAATTATGTTAATGTGAGAGATGAAGTTTAATGGTTGTTTTAACTTTTTTTATGGTGTCAAAATGATACGAGTAAATTAACAGTTTGTGTGGTATCGGGGGGGGGGGGGGGGTATTGCGTAATTTAATTGTTAAAAATAAATTATTAAAAATAAAAATTAATCCTTTAAAATTTTATAAATTGTCGTATTACTTGTCTGTCCAGAAACCGAATACGTTTACCATCGTTCCAAAACTTTCCCAGAGTAATGTGGAAAGAAAATATTGTCCAGAGTTACCTACCGTAGCCGATTTTCTCCCCTGACTCAACAGGAATGATAAAGACGAGTATGTTGAGGAATGACAAGAACACGACTGGCAGTATAATGTTGACGATCAAAAATATCGGCCGTCTTTTTAGTGTAAATTTAAACTGCAAAAAGTATATTGGAATTTTTTTTAAAATTTATTTGTTGCACCAAATAGAAGAATATTTTCTAAAATCCGCAACGCTTATGTTGTCTCTAAGTTACATACATTTACCGTCCTAGTTATGTATAATTGTGTTTTCATTTTAGTTGGTAATTGACTTTTAATCTTGATATATTTAACCTTATTGTCAAATAAATGAAAGTATGAATATAATACTAAACAAGATCTATAACATGTAAACTGTACCATCGAATTTTAAATCCCATCGCTTTTTTAGACAATTTTAACTGCTTGTCTATGTAGACTATTTCTACGATTTTGAATAATAAGTCGGCCAGTCAGATATTAATTTATTAATATCTGATAACCTACCTAAATATTGGAACCTATACTACAACTGACATTATAACCTACCTAATATGTTGGAACCTATACTACAACTGACATTATAACCTACCTAATATGTTGGAACCTATACTACAACTTACATTATAACCTACCTAAATATTGGAACCTATACTACTACTGACATTATAACCTACCTAAAATGTTGGAACCTATACTACAACTGACATTATAACCTACCTAAAATGTTGGAACCTTTACTACCACTTACATAATAAATTACCTAAATGTTGGAACCTTTACTACCACTGACATTATAACCTACCTGAAATGTTGGAAGCTATACTACCACTGACATTATAACCTACCTGAAATGTAGGGACCTGGACGACACCTGAAGATAAGTTTGACGTAATTATTGTAGCCGAGGTTAGATCCCATTCTCCATGAAGTGTGTAAAAAGAAGTTCCGATTGTAGGTACTGAATTACGGAACTGCATTTCTTCCAAATTTAATGTCAGTGCTGTCATCTATGGGGATAAATGACAGGTCTATGATTTTGTTTAAAGAGAATGACATCTTTGAAGATATATTAAAAATTGTGTTCTTAGATATAATTACATAATTAACATATAATTATATAATACTTATAGACTGAATCAAACACTATAAGTAAACGATACATTGTCTTTTTCCCCGTTCGTGCCCAAGAAACATTGGACAGGTGAAGTAGATTTCATCTGTTTAAGAAAACTCGAAAGTGTGATCAGCACTTTGCCAAACCGGCTTTACTTTCACTAACATGAGTTAGGTAACGTGAGTTAGGTACTCGTCAGAGCTGAGCGGACTCAGGGATGTTCTACTGACTCGAATTCGAGACTTCCGGGTTAGCAGACTAACTCTCTAATACTAGGCCACTCCGTTGCATAGGACACATGTAGACTTAATTATCTTACCTCGATGGTATATTTAGACTTACATAGATAACACAGTCTTGCTGATCGAACGGGTAATTGGACCTTGTCAACTGACACGATGGTATATTTAGACTTACATAGATAACACAGTCTTGCTGATCGAACGAGTAATTGGACCTTGTCAACTGACACGATGGTATTATTAGACTTACATAGATAACACAGTCTTGCTGATCGAACGAGTAATTGGACCTTGTCAACTGACACGATGGTATGTTTAGACTTACATAGATAACACAGTCTTGCTGATCGAACGGGTAATTGGACCTTGTCAACTGACACGATGGTATATTTAGACTTACATAGATAACACAGTCTTGCTGATCGAACGGGTAATTGGACCTTGTCAACTGACACGATGGTATATTTAGACTTACATAGATAACACAGTCTTGCTGATCGAACGGGTAATTGGACCTTGTCAACTGACACGATGGTATATTTAGACTTACATAGATAACACAGTCTTGCTGATCGAACAGGTAATTGGACCTTGTCAACTGACACGATGGTATATTTAGACTTAGATAGATAACACAGTCTTGCTAATCAAACGAGTAATTGGACCTTGTCAACTGACACGATGGTATATTTAGACTTACATATATAACACAGTCTTGCTGATCGAACGGGTAATTGGACCTTGTCAACTGACAGGATGGTATATTTAGACTTACATAGATAACACAGTCTTGCTGATCGAACGGGTAATTGGACCTTGTCAACTGACACGATGGTATATTTAGACTTACATAGATAACACAGTCTTGCTGATCGAACGGGTAATTGGACCTTGTCAACTGACACGATGGTATATTTAGACTTACATAGATAACACAGTCTTGCTGATCGAACGGGTAATTGGACCTTGTCAACTGACACGATGGTATGTTTAGACTTACATAGATAACACAGTCTTGCTGATCGAACGGGTAATTGGACCTTGTCAACTGACACGATGGTATATTTAGACTTACATAGATAACACAGTCTTGCTGATCGAACAGGTAATTGGACCTTGTCAACTGACACGATGGTATATTTAGACTTACATAGATAACACAGTCTTGCTAATCAAACGAGTAATTGGACCTTGTCAACTGACACGATGGTATATTTAGACTTACATAGATAACACAGTCTTGCTGATCGAACGGGTAATTGGACCTTGTCAACTGACACGATGGTATATTTAGACTTACATAGATAACACAGTCTTGCTGATCGAACGGGTAATTGGACCTTGTCAACTGACAGGATGGTATATTTAGACTTACATAGATAACACAGTCTTGCTGATCGAACGGGTAATTGGACCTTGTCAACTGACACGATGGTATATTTAGACTTACATAGATAACACAGTCTTGCTGATCGAACGGGTAATTGGACCTTGTCAACTGACACGATGGTATATTTAGACTTACATAGATAACACAGTCTTGCTGATCGAACGGGTAATTGGACCTTGTCAACTGACACGATGGTATGTTTAGACTTACATAGATAACACAGTCTTGCTGATCGAACGGGTAATTGGACCTTGTCAACTGACACGATGGTATATTTAGACTTACATAGATAACACAGTCTTGCTGATCGAACGGGTAATTGGACATTGTCAATTGACACGATGCATGGAACACACTGCCCGGGGCCCACAAAATTTCTCCCGTGTTGGAGATAAACACAGGCCTGGTAAGTGTGGGGGGGGGGGGGGAGAGAGAGAGAAACATGGAGATGTTAATATCAATGTGCAGTATTATAGGGCGTGCAATTATTTTTTATAACAACGTGTCTGTGTGGTTCTGAAGGCATTTCATCATCGTATCACCTTTTCCTGTTTGTGCCCAAGATACATGGGGCAGGTGATGTAGAGTTCATCTGTTTCAGTAGCATCGGTATATGAAAGAATAGTGTAGTGAGCATTATGCCCAACCAGTTTAATTTTCCCTAACTTGAGTTAGGTCTCCTTGAGATCTGGGTGGACTCAGGGACGTTCTACTGATTTTAATCCGGATTCGACCTCGAGACTTTCGGGTTCACAGTGTAATACTGGGTTAGCAGTCTAGCGCCCTATCGCTAGACCACGTCGTCCCTTTAAGTCATTTCAGCCTCATTTTGAAAGGCAGTATTAAATACTTGTTTGGTATGAATGTAAAGTTAAGTAGCAGTTATTGTGTATTTTAATTAACAGAAATTATGGTTACCAAGTTTATATCCTTTCGATTTAGTAGAAAGAGAAATAAAGGCTGAGTTTTTGTGACGCTTCATAACCAGTGTCTATTACGGATATCTATGTATTAACTAATTGCTTTCTTTGTTTAGTATTCAAGCGTTAATTTTGGACGCTCTTAGATATTATTGAAGTATTATAAATTAAAATTTATCCTTCACACATTCAAGCTGTAGACTTCAACGCGAGAATGAAAATTCATGTTTTATTGATTCAAAATTTGTAATAGCGTATCAAGATTTTTAAAAAATTTAGAATTAGGATCTTTTAAATTGTACCAATATTAAAACTTCTATATAAATATGATAATAAAAATTAACCTACGACAGGTCATCACCAAATAGATCACGTTTGTCCAAAGTGTTGAGTAACAGCACCATCGGTCTCCAGATCTGTGCAGGGGGTGGGTGAATCATTGTCTCACCCCCGTAGTCTTTTGGATCCCATGTTAGTAGCTGGCACACATGTCAAGCCAAATATCACAGACGTGTATAATTTTTTAGTGTAGGGGGGGGGGGGGGGGGTAAGAGCAAATAAGGTGCCGAATTTGTAACACCAATATATATATATATATTTATATATATATATATATATATATATATATATATATATATATATATATATATATATATATATAATATAAGTGCTAGGTAGAGTGTCAGTCCTTCCGACATCGCTATAGATTTTGGAACCATAAAAGTAAATACATCACATGCTTTTTACTTGCATCGCAGTGTCTTATAATTAGTTATAGAGTAGGGTTTGTTTATATAACGACTTAAATTTATGTTATAGTTGCTACAGTTTATTTTACTCTTTCGCATAGCGTGAAGAAAATATCAAATACACGCAAATTGCTAAAACATATTAAATGTATCAATGTCAAATATTCTTTTCGTTTACATTCCTAGAAAAAGTGGATACATTTTAAAAAATAAAGAATATCAAACAGTTGTGATCAAGTGCAGTATTTTTAACTAAATGCCAGTCTTCCACAAAAAAACCAACAAACACATTGTTCATCTTTGTAGATTTGTTGTAGCAACTATCTCACACAAACCACGGCTTCATTTAATATGGATTTTTAAACAATACAATGAAATGAGAAACACGCTCATTCAGACACTTATAGGTGAAGCTTAGTCAAATAAAAACAATGGTGGAATACATTTCATTTTTACCACCCGATATAACGCGCATAATTTTTTTTTAATTCATCAAACAAAATTTCGCAAGTTCTATAGAAAAAAAAATTATTCCAACAATGCATTAAACCAACGAAGAAAGTTTGGTGAAGTTGTTTGCATTTCTCTTTCAATGAACACTTTTTACTGTATAATCACTTGTACTGTTTAAACAAAATTTAAAAGTAAATATCATGAGTTACCCAGGAAATTCCACCATCGACACGTAGATCAATATAGGTTAGGTCCATCGATTAGCACTACCTTGAAGCTGGTATGGATTATTAGTCATGGTTTATTAATTGTCATATCTATCACATCTATTTAAAACTGTTCGGGATAAATTTAAAAATAATGATTCTTTTAGCGAAACGATTCTTCGTTTTTTTTTACAAGCCTTTATTTAGTTCGCAAAGTCTGTTTGTTTTCTTGTTCGTTTGTTTGTGGTTTTGTGGCGACTCTTTTAACCTAACTTTGACACACTTCCAATGCAGCGATTTCGTTTAAACTTTAGAGATACGTTCCACTTCGATGACAATACAAGACTATCTACTTTTTAATGTAAGGGGAAATAACAAAATTAAATCTCTTAAATCTCTTGATAGATTACTATACTCCATAATTAAAGGGGGAATAACTAGCTAGACGTTATCAACTAACCAGTCTAGATAGCTGTGTTCACGTCGAATGTTTACAAACGTAGAGCAGGGTCGAATTAGTGAAGGCTATTAAGGGAAGATAGTTTTTGAATGATTTGAAACTACGGGAAGGTAACAAGATCTACTTGATCTTGGTGCTTTCGTCACGGGTGGATCTTTTCACGGGAGGGTGGTGGGGGCGATAATCAACTTTCAGGACAAATAATATCATGGACAAATGATCTCTGACAAAATATCTCACGTCAAAATATTTGTAATATCTCGGATGACTTGTATCGATTTTAATATTTTGTTAATGAACTCTTTAAAAAATTATGTTAGATATATCGGAAAATATAGATTGATGCATTATTCTCACCAAAATTTAAAATATTGTAAATTAGGGTCGTGGTTTGTGGCAGATGTTTTGCAGTATAAAATAACATTAAAAACATGGGTGTCCTTTTCTCTAAGGCCGCATAAGTACCGTTACACAAAAATGTAGGAATCCTCGCATCCGCGTGTACATTACAAATGATTGGCACAATGCAGAGGCGTAGCGACCCCTCCCGGCACCACTGGTCCAATGGAAAGGGTGTTCAGGGCTGGGATGATAGAGTGATTAGGGGTGAAGAGATTTTATAGGGGTAAAATGGGCGTAGTGTAGTATTGGTTTATTTAGTGCAGTGGAGTCGACCGACCGTTTCCAACTAAAAACTGGGTCGTCTATTTATATCTTAAATGGGACCGACATATAACGTCGTTAGGTAGCAACACTAGATATCAACGTCATATTGCTACCACAGTGAATACTGTTAAATAGCTGAAACAGCAAACTGTACCGTTAAATAGCACATGGAGATAGCGACTTTAAAAAATAAAATACTTTAAAAAAACTTTTTAAAAAAACCACGTTTTTCTTGTAGACTAAAAAGTAGAAAATAAATTTTCATACATTTGATGACAAAAAACGTGGGAACGTTCACCATCAAATTTCCCGACCCATCTGCCTGACCCACGTTTTTTGTCATCAAATGTATGAAAATTTATTTTCTACTTTTTAGTCCAGAAGAAAAACGTGGTTTTTTTAAAAAGTTTTTTTTAAGTATTTTATTTTCTCCTTTTTAGTCCGTTGCTACACATGAAAAACGTGGTTTTTAAAAAAGTTTTTTATATAGTTTATTTTCTACTTTATCTAATGACTTGATTAAGAATGTGACTTGACTAAGTGTTTATAAATACACGGACTAAAAATCTTGAGCGACCAGGATTCGAACCTGGGTTGTCGCGGCCACTACGCGAAGTACTAACCACTATACGATCACGGCCAGCGCGCTGACATCGATTGGGGCCGAAGTAACTGTGTCAATAGGCCTCCAGTCTTGTCGGTATCTTTAGAAATCATGTCCTCAATTTTATGGTCCTTGGGGCGTAATTAAATTAAGCTAATTACGGTCTCTAATTGCTAGTTTTTATGATTGCATCTGAAATTGTTAGGCGAAAGTAGCCTACATGCCAAATTTCAGATCTCTAGAGCAATCAGAAGTGGGCTAATTTTCGATGTCAATTTTAACAACAAACATCCAAACAAACAAACGCGAAGCTGAGTTAAGAAAAACGTGTTAAAAATTAGAAAGTCACTTTAGATAGCACATATAGATCAAGCTGTTAGATAGCAACGTTATATCACACCATAAAATAGCACCGTAAATAGCATCATTAGAAAACACTATAAGACACAGATACCTCGTCCTTCCAAGCAAACATCACAAATCCGTTACACGTGAAGCTCTGAGCTACTTCATTGATCTCAACAATGGAGACCAGCTCAAACCCGACCTCGACTATGATGACCTTGGACTGGTCAACCAACGGTCGTACATCGGGGTTGTAGCCGCTGTTGATGATTTTGTCGTTAAAGATGGCCGTTACGTTGTTGTATGTTTGAGATCTGGCCATGCGGACAATGTTCAAGCATATCCAAAAATATAACAGATTTATTTGTACCTTGAATACCACCATGTTCAACTTTGTTATCTGCCTGAAAAATAATACATTTATTTTTACTATTACGCTATCGTAAAATAAAACAATAAATGCCATATGCCATAATTCATTTTTAGCGCAATTTCCATTCTGGAGAATTGCGTTTATTAACTCGTCATTTCTGGGAATGGATGGATGAATGAATGAATGTATGGATGTATGAATGTGTGTCCGGGCTTTAAGTCGTATCTCCTCCTCAACGAAGCAATATCGATGACTAGTTACAAAGCAATTATGTTAAGCAAGTTACGAGGATGAACATAGGCTATAAAAATTCCGGTTTTCTTTCATGGATTTCCCGGAAAAGCCAAAAAACCTCGAAAAAAAGCTGTTTTTGGCCCATATCTCGGCAACCAGACCACTTAGCGACTTGAAACATGTACCAATCGATTCCTGCCATAATTTAGAACAATATTGCCGAAGAAAGTTTTCAAAAATATCCTTTCGTTCGGTCACAAAAAATTTTTTGAATTAATTAAAATTAATTAGTAGGCATTTTTTCCAACCACACCACACGCGTCATCACGTTCAATAGCTGCGCCATCGCGTTCCATGGCTGCGCCATCACGTTCAGTAGGCGCGCAATGGTTTTTAGTCATGTAACTCTATCCTAATATATAAATCCCCACGTTCTCACATCTCTCTCTCTCTCTCTCTCTCTCTGTCTGTCCGCAAAATATTTTCGCCGGACATCACGTCAGAATCGGCAGCGATATATGAAGAACTTTTTACGGACTTTTGTTGGAAATAATATGTTAGATGTTTTAAATGTATAACCACAATTTTAGTTAAAGAAGAAAAATAAAAATTAAAGGCGTATTCGAATGTAGAGAAACAGTATTATTTATGCAACCGGAAAAGCATTAATATATGTGAAAAAGAACGCATAAAACTGTGACGTCACTATTGTTTATACATTAACTAATGACGTCATCTGCCGTGTTTAGAATGAAAAGAAATGAACTATTTCATTCAAATTTGATTTAGATCTACGTACACTATGAAATGTATACAATACAATTTTTCCGGCCTAAACTCATAAAATTTATTTTATGTATTTGGATTCTAGATCTAGAGATTCTAGATCTAGACTAAATCTAAATCTAAATCTACGCAATAACTAGATCTAGACGTAGACGCTAAGATCTAGATTTAGACTCTAACTTCTCTAAAATCAATTCCAAAAATAAATTTCTATATTAGGACTAAACTATTTCAAGACTTATTTATTTTATACAAAATCTTTGTTATGAACTGGCTAATTTGGGATAAAAAATTAATTTGAAAGAATAGGCATATTCGCGTAAGTTAAGATTTTAAAATACGTGTTTCATTCTCCGTATTTTATAAGGTGCCTAAGTAGCGGAGATGTTAGTGTACATTAAACCACGCAGGTGGTGCGGGTTCGAGACACAGCAAGTCAACTTGGTTAATGTATTCTTTTTTATTATGCTCGGGCTAAACTTTAAAAAAAAATTCTTTTAGGAATCTAGATCTAGATCTAGATTGTCGGGTGTCCGATAGGGCACTTCCCGGCGCCGCAGGCGCTTCAAATTTGGCATGATCTTGCCTTGGTGCGACAGAACACGGGGCCGGTTGGCCGAAAAGTCTACGATGTGGGGGTCAAAACTGACCTCGACTGACGGGTACCTTATATGAGCTATAAATCGAAAAAAATGTCCACGGAGGAACCTCTTCATAACTCTTGAGGTCGTAGACCGAACTTCGGGCGAATTAATTAAGCATTCAAATTCTCAATGTTTTCGAAAGCCTAAGCGAAGCTGGGCAGCATGCCTAGTTGTAAATAAAACATGTAAAATACTGAAAAAAAAAATTAATAAAAAACGTTTTAATAACTAACCAATGGTTTTACTAACCCTGCTCTTGATTTACGCTACGACAGAGCTATTTTTAGATAACATAAGGAAATTGCGCTAAAATTGTCACTAGACTTTTTAATTACCTTGTTTTGCTTATATCTTGATCTAAAGACCATCAAAATAAAATAAAAAATATTTATAAAATTAAAATAACTTAGTATTCACTTGAGTATTAGTTTTTGATCACTGTTTACTGACAAACAATATTTTTAAAAAAAACACGTCAATAGTTGGGACAAGATGTCAAAATTAATATTCCGATTAAGGTTGAACTGTTGTTTATTGCTAGGATATAAAAATCAAAACGAATATGCAGACCAAATTTTTCTTTTCCCCACAAAAACAAGAATAGCTCTCCAGAAGTGTTTATTGGATTGTGTAATACAGTTACAAGTCTTTGAAAACGGAAGCTGTATTGATCTTTAGATGAGTACACAGTTATAACGTGAAATTATTGGCACATGCTGTACAAAAGATACAATCATACGAAACTCTTATCTTACGACTAGACTAATTAGGAGACCAATTAGACTAATTAGCAGTGCAATAATATTCAGTTCAAAAACTACATTGCAAATAAAACAAAGCTTTAGCAAACTTTTTTTTACATTAGGAAAGTGGATTCAATCCATGCAAACCCGTGCCAAAACAAATATGACCCAAGAAATAAAGTGCAGGCATTGTTTACATTTAAATAACTATGTGCTAGAAAGCAAGGTTATATGTCTAAGAATATAGAATTGATAACGCGATGATGAAATCTTCTTAAAATATTGCATCAGATTTTCTTCTGAAACCGCAGCAACGCGCGGGGACGGGCACGCTAGTTTTATCAAAATACAACCATTTTACTGTTTGCTGTAAAACTTCGTTTTTAATTTAAAGCTAAAATAGATTACAGTAAAACGGACACGCTAGTAGGCTTCTAAAATTTTTGTGATCTTAAAATACAAGTATAAATGTTATAAAAATTAAAGACAGACAATAACGTGGAGTTAAAAACAAATAAAAAACAAAGAATCGGCTGAGAGAGTTTCAGAATATTAATTTAGCCTTTACCGATTCTAAGCACAATGACACAATAACTCAAACACACACTAATCTTCTCTGAGAAGCTTAATACGTGAATCCGCAATTCAACGGGCGAGGGCAACAGTCTAACACGTTCAGCTCGTCTTTAGGACGTATGCATTGCTTCGCTTCGTCATCCTATGGATTGGTTCACTCGTGACAGTTTGGGAACGAGTTGGTGGCTGTCACAGTTACGTGACGTCACAGTCTGATGCTAAAAGAATCTGTATAAATAATTTAAGGCTGGGTGGGGAAAATAGGTACAGAGTTCTATAAGTTTATTTTTAATTAATCGGTATATTAGGTTATCAGGCTCTTGAAGTTAATGCTGTTTTTTTGTATAATTTTTATTGGGTAAAAAAAGTCTGCAGGTAAAAAAAAACTTCAAATGTTTCTAGACTAAACGAGGGAGAGATAACCTAAGGAGCAAACCTTAACAAGTTCCTATGAGAACACAAAAATACTATATTTAGAGCTATTTTCTTTTACGACATTAAGTAACATTTGTTTCTGACCACAACCTCTCATGTTATATGATCTTTCTAGTAAACAACATTACCTCCCCTGCACGAATAAGCAGAGTGATGTATTCAGAAAAAAATATCAATCACATGATTTTTATCGGAAATCTTTGGTTACATTTTCTGTAGAAACAGCAGAAAAGGTAGTTGTATTAAAGTTAGTTGTATCTAATAATTCATTCGAATTTACTATATTACACGCACATATACGCATATATATATATATATATATATATATATATATATATATATATATATATATATATATATATATATATATATATATATATATATATATATATATATATATATATATATATATATACATATATATATATATATATACATATATACACACACATATATATATATATATATATATATATATATATATATATATATATATATATATATATATATATATATATATATACACACACATATATATATATATATATATATATATATATATATATATATATATATATATATATATATATATATATATATATATATATATATATATATATATATATATAATGTATATAGAGGGCTAGGTGTGTGTGTGTGTGTGTCATTTTTTATTTTTTTATTTTAATATAAAATTAAGATAAGCTTACTCAACATTGACCGAGCTCAGTAGCTATTGTAGAAAAAAAGAAATTTAAAAAAAAATATACTTTTGAAAGGGGTGTTTTGCTGACATTATTTTAGGTGCTACAGCCTGGCTTTTTGTTTTGTGTGACGTTGTGTAAGAGTTGTGGTGGAGTTGCGAAGAGTAAAAGATTGATGAACCCAGTGTAGGTATAAATACCATGCTTTATTTACTCGGTGTGAGGTTTTGTTTTCAAACAGGAGCATTGTCTTCTCAACTTTACATGCATGTTACGAGTTTTATGTTTGTTTTAAAAATGTAAGCATTTCGATGTTAAACTTAAACTGTGAACATCTACGTTGTTGCGAACCCAACGGTCAACCCCGTCTTTCAGGTCCACAAAAGGTTCATTTCTTCGTTATAAGAACCGTATCAGTACAATTTTACACTCATTAAGTCTCGATCTGCTGTCACTGTAGTAGCATCGCAACAACAAAGAAATAAAGCAAATAACTAAATCAAGAATTTATCTTTTTGGTAATAATTAGTATTGTGATTTATAGATTGCGCAAATATAGTTCGCCTACTAATTTTTTTTTTCATTTTTTTTACTTTCTCGTATATACGAAGTATAGAGAAAGTATTGTAATCGTGCACAAAAATCACTTGAAATTTTAACAATTTTCACCGTATTACACCTCAGTCCTTCATCACATCCGAAGTATAGATGACTTATTTTAATCGGGCAAAAATTATCAATCCAGATTTATCAAAATTAAGAGGTTTTATGCGTAATCCAGTCTGAAAAACTGGGCTTTGCAATTCTGTCCGTATGTCTGTGTGTCT